TCTGCTGGTGTATATCTTACAGTGATGCTGGTGTGTGTGTCTTGCAGTGGTGCTGGTGTGCAAGTTACAGTGCTGCTGATGTGCAAGTTACAGTGCTACTTGTGCGTATCTTACAGTGCTGCTGGTGTGCAAGTTACAGTGCTACTGGTGTGCAAGTTACAGTGTTGCTGGTGTGCAAGGTACAGTGCTGCTGGTGTGCAAGGGTTTACAGTGCTGCTGGTGTGCAAGTTACAGTGCTGCTGGTGTGCAAGTTACAGTGCTGCTGGTGTGCAAGTTACAGTGCTGCTGGTGTGCAAGGTACAGTGCTGCTGGTGTGCAAGGTACAGTGCTGCTGGTGTGCAAGTTACAGTGCTGCTGGTGTGCAAGTTACAGTGCTGCTGGTGTGCAAGTTACAGTGCTGCTGGTGTGCAAGTTACAGTGCTGCTGGTGTGCAAGTTACAGTGCTGCTGGTGTGCAAGTTACAGTGCTGTGGTGTGCAAGGTACAGTGTTGCTGGTATGCAGTTACAGTGTGCTGGTGTGCAAGTTACGGGTGTGCTGGTGTGCAAGGTACAGTGCTGCTGGTGTTGAAAGGTTTACAGTGCTGCTGGTGTGCAAGTTACAGTGCTGCTGGTGGGGCAAGTTACAGTGCTGCGGGTTTGTGCAAGTTACAGTGCTGCTGGTGTGCAAGTTACAGTGCTGCTGGTGTGCAAGTTACAGTGCTGCTGGTGTGCAAGTTACAGTGCTGCTGGTGTGCAAGTTACAGTGCTGCTGGTGTGCAAGTTACAGTGCTGCTGCTGGTGTGAAAGGTACAGTGTGCTGGTGTGCAAGTTACAGTGTGCTGGTGTGCAAGTTACAGTGCTGCTGGTGTGCAGTTACAGTGCTGCTGGTGTGCAAGTTACAGTGCTGCTGGGTGCAAGTTACAGTGCTGTGGTGTGCAAGTTACAGTGCTGCTGGTGTGCAAGTTACAGTGCTGCTGGTGTGCAAGTTACAGTGCTGCTGGTGTGCAAGTTACAGTGCTGCTGGTGTGCAAGTTACAGTTCTGCGGTGTGCAAGTTACAGTCCTGTGGTGGCAAGTTACAGTGCTGCTGGTGTGCAAGTTACAGTGCTGCTGGTGTGCAAGTTACAGTGCTGCTGGTGTGCAAGTTACAGTGCTGCTGGTGTGCAAGTTACAGTGCTGCTGGTGTGCAAGGTACAGTGCTGCTGGTGTGCAAGTACGTGCTGCTGGTGTGAAAGGGTTACAGTGCTGCTGGTGTGCAAGTTACAGTGCTGCTGGTGTGCAAGTTAAAGTGCTGCTGGTGGGGCAAGTTACAGTGCTGCTGGTGTGCAAGTTAAAATGCTGCTGGTGTGCAAGTTACAGTGCTGCTGGTGTGCAAGTTACAGTGCTGCTGGTGTGCGGGTTTACAGTGCTGCTGGTGTGCAAGTTACAGTGCTGCTGGTGTGCAAGGTACAGTGCTGTTGGGTGTGCAAGTTACAGGGGATGCTGGTGTACAAGTTACAGTGCTGCTGGTGTGCAAGTTACAGTGCTGCTGGTGTGCAGTTACAGTGCTGTGGTGTACAAGTTACAGTGTGTGGTGTAAAAAGTTACAGTGCGCTGGTGTGCAAGTTACAGGGGCTGCTGGTGTGCAATTTTACGTGTTGCTGGTGTGCAAGTTACATTTCTGCTGGTGTGGAAGGTACAGTGCTGCTGGTGTGCAAGTTACAGTGATGCTGGTGTACAAGTTACAGTGCTGCTGGTGTGCAAGTTACAGTGCTGGTGGTGTGCAAGTTACAGTGCTGCTGGTGTGCAAGGTACAGTGCTGCTGGTGTGCAAGTTACAGTGCTGCTGGTGTGCAAGTTACAGTTCTGCTGGTGTGTAAGTCAAAGTATTTTAACTACAGTAGCCTATTACCTGCCCTAAAGAGAAAATGCCAAGAATTTCTTGTAAATAATACATAACCAGCCTCACTTGACTAATACAACCCTGCATTTTTAAACATTGGATAATGTAAATAAAACATAGCTACTCATTACAATTTATGTGTGACTGAATTCATGACTTTGTAAACACGTCACCGTTATGGTAAACAATGGATAAATTTGTCAATATTTCATTACCACTGTTAATTGTTTGTCTTATAAAATATTGGGACCCACTGGCTGGACCCATTATGTGTCTCTGTAACGTGACTGCCATCCACAAGATGACTATAGGGTGCCTACCACCCACAAGATGACTATAGGGTGACTGCCACCCACAAGATGACTATAGGGTGCCTACCACCCACAAGATGACTATAGGGTGACTGCCACCCACAAGATGACTATAGGGTGACTGCCACCCCACAAGATGACTATAGGGTGACTGCCACCCACAGATGGGCTATAGGGTGACTGCCACCCACAAGATGACTATAGGGTGACTACCACCCACAAGATGACTATAGGGTGCCTACCACCCACAAGATGACTATAGGGTGACTACCACCCACAAGATGACTATAGGGTGCCTACCACCCACAAGATGACTATAGGGTGACTGCCACCCACAAGATGACTATAGGGTGACTGCCACCCACAAGATGACTATAGGGTGACTGCCACCCACAAGATGACTATAGGGTGACTGCCACCCACAAGATGACTATAGGGTGACTACCACCCACAAGATGACTATAGGGTGCCTACCACCCACAAGATGACTAAAGGGTGACTACCACCCACAAGATGACTATAGGGTGACTACCACCCACAAGATGACTATAGGGTGACTACCACCCACAAGATGACTATAGGGTGACTGCCACCCACAAGATGACTATAGGGTGACTGCCACCCACAAGATGACTTTAGGTGGCTACCACCCACAAGGAAAGACTATAGGGTGACTGCCACCCACAAGATGACTATAGGGGACTGCACCCCACAAGATACTATAGGGGGGGACTACCACCACAAGATGACTATAGGGTGCCTACCACCCACAAGATGACTAAAGGGTGACTACCACCCACAAGATGACTATAGGGTGACTACACCCACAAGATGACTATAGGGTGACTACCACCCACAAGATGACTATAGGGTGACTTTCCACCCCCCAAGATGACTTTTGGGTGACTGCCACCCCCAAGATGACTATAGGGTGCCTACCACCCACAAGATGACTTTAAAAGGGGGACTACCACCCACAAGATGACTATAGGGTGACTACCACCCACAAGATGACTATAGGGTGACTACCACCCACAAGATGACTATAGGGTGACTACCACCCACAAGATGACTATAGGGTGACTACCACCACAAGATGACTATAGGGTGACTACCACCCACAAGATGACTAAAGGGTGGGCTACCCCCCACAAGATGACTATAGGGTGACTACCACCCCCAAGATGACTATAGGGTGACTACACCCACAAGATGACTATAGGGTGACTACCCCCCACAAGATGACTATAGGGTGACTACCACCACAAGATGACTAAGGGTGACTACCACCCACAAGATGACTATAGGGTGACTACCACCACAAATGACAAAGGGTGACTACCACCCACAAAATGATATAGGGTGACTACCACCCACAAGATGACTAAAGGGTGACTACCACCCACAAGATGACTAAAGGGTGACTACCACCCACAAGATGACTACAGGGTGACTACCACCCACAAGATGACTACAGGGTGACTACCACCCACAAGATGACTATAGGGTGACTACCACCCACAAGATGACTATAGGGTGACTACCACCCACAAGATGACTATAGGGTGACTACCACCCACAAGATGACTATAGGGTGACTACCACCCACAAGATGACTATAGGGTGACTACACTGTACACTGGCACTGTGTTGTAATAACAGTAAAGAAACAAAGAAAATATCTGAATATACTGAAGCTGAACCAACTGAATGTGGTTTTAATACGAGTGGGTGCTGCTAGCCCCAACAACCTGACTGACCAAGTGAGCAAACAAGAGACCTGCTCTGGGACTGAACCTACGGAAGTAATAAAAGCTAAATTATTATTATTAATTATAATAATTATTATCATGGAACACTAAACACGAATGGGTCATTCAGTTGGTGTTAATGGAGGCTCCAACCCCGGTATGTTAACAGCAGCCCTGTCTCTCACCAGGCAGGTAGACATATATGGTGGACGTGTGAAGGGAGGGACAGGTACTCCAGGTATGGTAGACACCCAGTATGGTTCCTTTACGAAGGAAAAAAATGGTAGGAGATGGTATAATAATGATAAGGACTATAAAACTGCTGATTACTTTAGTTAAGTTGTTGATTCAGATTTATAGCAATCACTGGAGAGGCAAAAACCATCATTGTGAAGTAGTAGAGTGGAGTGTCCTGTAGGTCGATTGGTAGCGCACTCATCTCACACACTGAGGTCGGTGGTTCGATCCCCGGTACGGGTGGAAACATTGGGACATGTTTCCTTAAGACACCTACTGTCCATATTCACCTGTCAATAAAATAGGTACCTGGGTGTTAGTCAACTAGGTGTGGGTGGCATTCTGGGGGACAAAATTGACTCAATTTGCCCGAAATGATGTACATAACAAAGGGCTTTCTATATAACAGTATATCATTGATGTCAGCTAGGACTGTATACCTTATACTTGTAGATTATGTGTATATCATGTGTTGGTACTGATTATTATTATTATTATTATTATAATCAAGGGGAAGCGCTAAACCCGGAGGATTATACAGCGCCTGGGGGGGATGTGGAAGGCATTCAGGCTTAATTCGGGGAACTGGAACACAGATCCAATTCCCTAAATCAAGAGCCCCTCACCAACATCAAGGAACCTTCCTTGAGGGGATGTTGGTACTGAAATATTGTAGACGACAGGTGATAGTGGTGAGGGATCCAGTGATGGTGGGGGGGGGTGAAACGTGGGTGGTGAGGGGTGATTTTGAGGGTGAGGGGAAATGAGAGAAAGGGGAGGGGGTGAGGGTGCGCGACGGTAGCCAGGTTGAAAGTCACACAGGTTAGCAGCGTTCAGAGGGGATAGTGTCGTCCAGACAGTCAAGCCTCCAGCACCTCCCACACAACACCACCTCCTCTCCTGCCCCTCACGGTGGGTCATTCTCTCTCTTAACACCCACACTCTAGTCCAGTACCTATCTACCTACTCTGACACCTTCATCCAGCGCCAGGTAAGTATATGGCATAACCAAAAAGTATTTATTAATAAAATATATTCATCTCGTTCAAAAGTTCCTTCTCGTACTTGCCAGTAGTTGACATGAAGATGGTACCAGGGAGGTGGCGGGTTCCAGACCAGGCCTCCCGGTGGATGGTCTGATCCACCAGGTTGCTGGTGCTAGCCCCACGCACACCCACGTAGGCACCACAGCCTGGCTGATCACATACTGACTCCACGACTTTATTACGACATTTTTTATTATGCGGACTTTCATCATTTCTTTTACGCTTATAAAGAAAAGATTTCTTTAGATTATTAACCCAGGAGGAGTAACCCAAGAGGATTATTTACTCAGTATTAACCCAGGAGGGTTATTAACCCAGAGGGATTATTAACAAGCAACCATTGGCACCTTCAACCATCTCTCGTTTTGTCAACCTTACAGTCCACCAGTTACTATGTATCCATTGCCAGGCGAGCAGGTGCAGCAAGGAGAATAAATTGCCTGCACATGTCAAAGCCTGTCATAACATAAGCCACTTCAAGAAGAGAGCCAAAATGTACCTCGTGCATAAAGCTACAGAAAGGGAGGAGTATGAAAATAACTAATTTCACCTCTACCCTTGTATGTTCTTTTATTGTAACTGCTTTTACATAGTTAAGATACTTACCTGCTTGTAACTTAAATTATCACCAGGGCCCTAATGGAAATAAGTCACTCTGACTTTTTTGGGTTATCCTAGGTTCGTACACATGCTGCTATGTATGATATTATATGTAATTGTGTATACCTGAATAAACATACTTACATCATGACTCGCCCGGGGATTTGAGCCCAGTCCTTGGATTGTAAAACGGCCTTGACATAAAAAATTTAAAACGTGGGGGTTTGGGGTTTCTGCTGAAAGTACACTCTAGCAGAAGACCTCGTGATCTTGTTTGCTCTAAACACTCCCCAAGCAAGGTTTTGGAAGTGTAAACACCGGCTGATCGTTCATAATGTTTCGATAGGGGAATAGTTTGTTTAGATAAACCGGATATAACTTCAGGTCTTGTGATTTCAGGAAAACTAGGAAATCCCTTCAGTACCTAAAATGTTAATGAAAAAATTAAACACTGACGTCGTTTTTTAAAACAACGGATAATAACAATACCAAAATTAAAATAAAATATAATAATAATAATTATTATTATTATTATTTTATTATTTTAAACCTTATTTCTCCAGTACATGTAGAAAAATTTTCGATCTAGCTGCTCAGACTTTAAAAACGGAAAAATTCCCCTTTGGGTTTTGTAAAGTATTTCGGGCAACTTGGTTAAGCTTGTCCTCAGGATGCGTCCAAAAACAGTGAACTAACATCCCCGGTACCCCGTTATGTGGGTGAAAAACAAGGACAGGTGTAAGGAAAATGCCCCAAAGTTTCACCATGCCCAGGGATCGATCCCGGACCCTCAGTGCGCAAAGATGGGACGTACCCAACCAAACCCTCGCATTTGCTTAATTGCGTAATAAGGGGAAAAATTTTTGATCATAAAATTTATACAAATAATAAGAAAACACTCCAGAAGATTTAAAAAAGTGTTGTGATGAGAAGTGAGTTTTTGTTTGTCAGAAACAGGGCAAGTGTTTCCCGACGCGGGTCTTAGCCGCATGATGACCCCCATCACTGGAGCTTTTGGTCATCAGACCGAGGCCTTCCACGGGCTTATCCATCCACACTTTTAAAAACTGTAGTTATGATTATAATCATTAGTCAAACGAGTGTAGTGTTCAGTCCATCTTATAAACCCACACGACCGCAGATGGAACGCTGTCGTCTGTAAGTGTGGGTCTTGTTCAGTTATTAGTGTATATAATATGCAAATGTTTTTTTTCGATGGTCTTGTGGGCACACAGGTGTTATAACATACAAGCACTCTGTATGTGAATTAACCTAGGTTAACACTGTTAAAATTATGTTTGGTGTGATAGTTACACACGCACCTGTCACACATACCTGTCACACACACGTCACACACACCCGTCACACACACCTTTCACATACACCCAGCTTCACATTTTAAGTCATCCTCCTGCTTAGAAAACTGATCTTACTCAGTGAGATAACTGGCAGCCTCTCACGACATATTAAGGAAAGTCTGTGAGAGATGGAGAGATAAACAGTGGACCCAGGATGACTGGTATGGATGATTGCAGTGGTGTATGTGTGAGAGCTGTATGAATGTGTGTGTGAGTGTGTCACCAGTACAGTGTGTGTGTGTGTGGTGTGTCACCAGCACAGTGTGTGTGTGTGGTGTGTCACCAGTACAGTGTGTGTTTTGTGTGTTTTGTGGTGTGTCACCAGCACAGTGTGGTGT